CTGAAATTCTGTCATTTTCAACCACATCACATTTCAGGCTACTGAAGTAAGATATCTCCTTAGGTGTACAGTCTTGGCAACTATCTACGGCTAAAAGTTTGGAGCTAGGAAAAGCATCCCCAATGCTTCTGTCAGAGTCATCAGTGCAGCTGAGGTCCAGGAAAATCCTATCCATATCCTGCAACCACAAGCACTATTTAGGAAATACCTTGCCACCCTTGAAGTGTGCAATTCTGTAACAAACCTTTCTAAGAATCCAGATAAGATTATAACAACAAAAACAAGAACAAAAACAACAACATCAACAAAAACAAAAGAAACTGGGCAAACAAACAACAAAAGGTACTCCAAAAATATTGTTATGTGTAATGTTCAGAATAGTTCAAATCCCGTAATCCAAAAAAAGATGCGATTATTTTAAAAAATTAACTTTATGATCAAATCTGCTCAATGAAATTATAAGTACTTCACTGTGTGAATAGTCCGAACGTTTCACAAACTCTTCCTTGGGATTATAAGTTTTTAGACAGCTAAGTATTCCACATCGAAGTAAAATATAATGCAAAAAAAGCCTGCTCACCCATCGCGGACGTTTCGTGTTCCCTTGAAAGAGGAATTCGTCTCCTACTTGAACATATTTGACAACTGAACCAATTTGAACATTTTCAGCAATCATTTCTTCATTCTCCCAGGTATCTTTGAGATCCTTAGTCGCCAGTTGAAAAGCTTCACCCACGCCGGATCCTTCTTCATTGATCTCTCTTCCATAAATAATGATCATATCACCACTAGGGTGAGTTTTTGCTATTTCAACAACAACGCAATGCCCTTGTTTAGCTTTGCCTAAATCTGTTAATGTCACTCTGTCCATACCTTTGTTGATAGGTTTAAAATCATGATTCATTATGGAAAAATCACCAGGCGATTCTTCCATAATGTAAGGCTTAAACTGTTCACATCTCGGGCTGAGATGTAAACAGTTTAAGCCAAGCTCAACATCTGTCATCGAGTCTTTTCCATATTTGCCTTCTAAAATGATGTCTCTCGGACTAGTCATCTCTGTTTGAGTTTTCAACCTCTTTCCTGGCCTTTTAGGCAAACTTGCCGTCTTCTTCCCTCTCAGCTACGAGGAGAGAAAAAGGTACACAATGTAAACAAGAAGCGAAGTGTAAAAGTATTTTATCATTTCTTAGCCATAGTTGTATTGATAACACTCCGCAGTAGCCTTTGCTGAAAGGAAAAAAGGTTGAAGTAGGGTAATGTAAAAAAGATAAGAGATAGGAAAGGTGAAAAACGCAAAGGACAAAATGTAGGAAACTTCAGCATTAACCCTTAATTGGAGAGAGATGTTTATCGTTTTGTCACGTGCGTAGAAAAAATAAAGTTCCCATGAGGAATCGAACTTCTAAATTTTTCGTTTATTTTTCTATGTTCCGCGTTCACGACGAAAAAACTACTCTCTCTCTTTAACTACCAAGCTCAAAATTTATGGACCCCTCTATTATCAATTACTTGTTACCCTTACAATACGTATTTGCTGAATGTTTTCTAGTTCAAAGTGTTTTTCTGTTTTGTTCTTCTTCGTCTTCTTTTTTCAGTCAAGTACAAGCTGCTAGACATGAAATTAAAGTGCGATACCGTCTCTCAGTTAAAGTTGGGCTGCAGGTGCATCACTGATTGTTTTGTTGCACGGCAAGTATTTGTAACACGTTATCCGGCAATATATTTATCATTCAATCACCACACATCCTACAAGAAGTGTAACTGTAGATGAATTCAGAGTGAGGGTTGACGCATCACTCCGCTCATACAACTGATTTTTGAGATTATTAATAAAAATTTTTTCAGAAATTTACCTTTATAACTTCCAAACATACCTGTATATCTAACTCTCTTTCGAGTGATAGTTTAGTATCCTGAAAGTAAGTCAAATGATACAACAATCAGTCAATGCACTGAAAGCTACACATCATTATTGTTATAAGAATGTCAGTTGTTGCTTTACCCTCTCAGAACCATGACTAAGCTTAGAGCTGCAAAGAAACACTGACAAAAAATGTTTAAGACACATTAGATAAACAAATTAACGTTATTCATCAACCGGAAGGACCGTATTGGAAAGAAAAACTGTGCTCGAGGGTGGAACTCAAGACAGACAGCACAGTTTTTCCCAATAATGACCGAACTAGGCTGGTGAAAAACAGTTTTTTTTCCTGAAACTTGACGAAATGTTTGCCAAAGGAACCCGAGATATGTTTGACATTTCTGCGGCAGTTTGTATTTCATGATAGTTTTTTTTTGTCTCGAAGTAGGTTTTTCTTTTCGGGATGATAAAATCCGCTGTCGCTTGATAGCCTTCGCTTTCTGAATCCATAAATGTGAGTCACTTGTTACAATATTTACATCATTAAGCCTCTCTCGTAATCGATTGAAAGGTGCAAAATGCGCCTGGTCTGAATGGGAAAATTAGGACTGCTGGAGGGCGCGGAATTAGCCAATCAGATTCGAGGATTTAAGATTCCAGACCGCTGAGATGCTTGAGGAAAAAATGATACACAATGCAAATTGTGGATATCACCCTTTTCAGCCTGCTAAAGTAAATCTTTTGGAACACAGCACGGGTAGGAATGCACCACTTGACATGCTTCACAATAATGAATACTTTTAAATTCATGAAGCGTTTTAAATTCAGCCAAGAGACTGCCAGCGAGGAAATATTATTTTGATCACATCTGAGATGTAACGAAGAAGATCAACGAAGTTCAGCTAAATAAGTTCGTGCTAATACAGGAGTGTTTACAAAATGCATAACATGAAGCTCGTTTCCTGACATATACCATTTGACGTACCTGTTTATGTCAAATAGTGAGGGTAAATATTAACCAATGCGGAATTTCTACTACAAAATTAAACTTCTTCTGGAGAGCAACCAAACATACCTTGGCATCAGCTTCGAACTTTCTACGCAGGCTCTTTACAAGCAGCTCGAATTCAATGGCCGACTAGGAAAATAATTAAAAAACACTCATGAGTTCACTGAACAGTCTTACCCAAGAAGCTAAAATTGACGTAGTTTTGCAATGGCAGTTTCTGAACAGAGAGGGTGAGGATTTGAGCAGCTACTACTTCAGCTAGAAAGTAATGATTCTCAAAATAACAACAGAACGAGACAGAGATAGTCAAAGGTCAACCATTTTTCTCTAAAGGCTATAGTCTATGTGAAATCTGCCTCGGCTGCAGCCAACTCTATTCTATAAGGTTTGTAGCTAAACATCTCTAAGAGTTGTATTTTAAAAAAGTCCACCAGCTAGTCTGCATTTACGCTGTTGAGT